AAAATTTGCGAAAACTCGCTAAAAAATCGAGAAATACTCGCTTTATACTCGCGGATACTCGCCATTACTCGCATAAACTCGCGGGTACTCGCTAATACACTCGAATACTCGCGGCCACTCACGCAACTCGTTGTACACCCACTTGGAGAGTGGAGGACCCCTCGAATCTACCACACTGTGAAAAATATCTTCTTACATTTGAAACTGCATTTAAAAAGTTAAAAAAGTTAAAAAAAAAGTTAAAAAATATTCGAAGCAACGACAAAGGTGCGTTCCACCCACTCCCACATATCCTACATATGTATCCTTTGTGACTTTGTTTCCTTCTCTCTTTAAAAAAGTACGTTTGCCGACTTCGCTTTACTCGCGGTGCCGATCGGTGGAACAATCAGTGGAACTAGGGCATCGCCATGAAGCAAACAGCCTCGCCGACAGACTTTTGAAGTGTGCGAGGGCGGGGAGAGAGGAAATGTTGGTGCAAATGTGCGACATGGGATGTGTGCGTCTTTCTCTCTTATTTCTTTCTCCCTTTTCCACCCATTCCCCCACCCACCTTTCCCTCTCTCTCTCTCTCTCTCTCTCTCTCTCTCTCTCTCTCTCTCTCTTTCGCTCTTTCCCTGCAGATTCCGGGGTCCACACACTGTTAGAAAAAACCACGGAAAAAACACAGAAAAACTATGGTCAATTTTTTGCCCAGAACGTCTGTCCAAATCTGTGCTGAAACCACAGAGCTGTACGGAATCAAAGGTACAGAAAACCACGGAGCTTCTGTTACAGAAAGTCTGTGCTCCTCCGTACACCTGCCACAGAATTAGTACGGATATCTTCTGTGGTTTAGCCATTCTTTTCTAGACAAAATTTTGTTGAATTTGAAGGATCGTCGTCAGCGTAGGATACTTTGGTGCCCAAAGTGAGTTAAAAATTCAATTTCATTGGCGCGTTAGCCCAGGACTGCAGCGCGCGGGAAACTACTTCCCACTGAACACGTATCAGGGTGGGACACTACATGGTGACCAGGACGGAAGTGATCAGCGAGAGCTAATGTAGAATGCCATCTAGCGGCGTCTTCGGACGCTTTACCACTGAGAGACAATGTCTGTTACAGATGGGTCAACACCCCTTGAATGACAGACTATTTATATGACGGAAGCAATCTGTACGATTATGTTGTGTTTTTTCTGTAGCTTTGAAGTACAGACTTCTGTGTTCACAAAATAACTGAAAATTTCTGTAACAGAAGCAATCCGTACACCTCTGTTGGGAATTTTTCTGTGGTTGTCTGTGGTTTTTCCACAGATTTTTTAACAGTGCACGGTCTCCCTTCACCTGCCGCCGCGCCCCCTCCTCCAGTCTCAGCGAGAGCGAAGTCGCTGCTGAAAGAACGGGAAATGTACGGGAAAATCGAAGTGAGTTCTCCCTTATGGCGCCGCCAGCGTTGCCCCCGCCACGCCACGCCACGCCGCGGTCCCGGCTGGCATCGTCATCAACGGCTACAGTCGTGCAAAGAGAGAGAAAGAAAGAGGGGAGGGAGGGTGGAGGCGAGCGAGAGAGAGGCGCTGCTAGGGCGTCCGGAGCGAAGCGAACCGAAGCGCGAACCGCAGGCCGGAACCGAAAGTGGGAAGTGAGTTTCTTGGCAGAGCCGATCGCCCCCGCCGCGCCGCGCCTCGCCCATTGTACACACGCTCACTCCACACGTCTCAGAATGGCTCCGTCATTTGCCGTCGGCAAACCTTTTCATCGACTCTTACAAGGGGAGAGTCCTCCTCCTGCTGCCGCTGCTTCCGCTGGAAATAAAACACGACTTTTCACAAACTTTACTGGCTTCTTTTCACCAACAGCCATAATAATTACTTCTATTTTGCGAACTGGAGTGACTGGAGTGTGCTTTACCGGAGAATGCGCCCGTCGAAAGGAAAGAAGATGGGGAGTGCGGGCTCAGGCTGGTGCGAGGAAAAAGGGGTATAGAGAAGGAGAGATAGGAGGGAGGAGAAAATATCGCCCTTGTTAGCTCTCACCACACTGCTGGCCCTGGGCTTGCCGGCCCGGCCCTTCCGTCCCCAGCAGAGACATCACCGTCAGAGATTTGTGGAGGTACAGGCCAAGCGAGAGCTCGTCCCGGCCGCCACCGGCCGGGCCCCTGGCCGGGCCCCTGGCCTAACCTCGCCCTCACGACCCTAAGTGAGATCTATTTGCTCCCCTCTTACACACCCTGTGAGCACCTCCCCGCCGCCGCCCCTCCTGCCCCCCTCGTGCTGCTCCTCCACCCCATTTCTCGCTGCGAGGAAGCGTCTCGCCTTGCGGTGGTGGTGAAGGCGTCCGTCTGTCTCCCCCTGGTCCTTGTGGCGGTGCTCGGCCCGACTTTATTCTCGCGACTCGTTTGCAAAGAAGGGCGCGCGCGCGCTCCGGGGCGACGGTGTGAGGCTCGGTGTGAGGTGTAATTGCAGGCTGCCCCCGGGGCGTGTGGGGCTGCTGTGCCCG